CCCTTCTTTGCCTACATAGGCACTAGCACTTAGACTTTGGGGTTCCGCATTCGGGCTTCAACCAGGGGCGGAAAGAGAGAAAGAAACACCTTATCAGAGAGAGAGGTGGAAGGGAGAGAGGGATGGAGAGAGAGGAAGAGAGAGATATGATTCAGGGTTTAGGATTTCGTGATTAGGGTCTAGGGTTCCTGTCAAGGATTCTGTGTGTGAGAGAGCTAGAGACGCACCTTATCTCCTGTGGAGCATTTGCAGCCATCAATTTGACTTCTGCCCTCAGATAATCAAGAGCTTCCTTAAGGCCATGTGTCCCTGTCTGCAAGTAGCACAAACAACGAAGTTTTAGTCAAGGAAAACATAGAGACAGAGACGAAAAGGCAATAAACGGACAGACAAACAGACGGGCAAGTAGCACAGATAGGCCGATGGATGGACGGACACGGAAAGACAGCCAGACGGACAAACGGACAGGCAAATGGACGGACGGACAGACAGAGAGACAGACAGACGGACAGACAGACGGACAGACAGACGGACAGACAGACAGACGGACAGACAGACGGACGGACAGAAAGACAGACAGACGGACAGACAGACTGACAGACAGAAAGACAGAAAGACAGAAAGACAGAAAGACAGAAAGACAGAAAGACAGACAGACAGACAGACAGACAGACAGACAGACAGATGGACAAATGGACAGATGGACAGACACACTGATGGAGACCTACAGATAGAGACAGACAGATATAGACAGGAACAGACTACCAGATGGACAGACAGAAACAGACCAGCGGACAGGTGGGCAGGAGGATGGACAGGCAGGAGGATGGACAGGCGGGAGGACAGACGGCAGGCGGATGGGCGGAGGGACAGGCACGAGGGGCAACCGGACAGACAGATAGATCGGCAGATGGAAACCCATAGTAGAATTTAGGTTTAAACCAGAGCTGAAAACCCGGTAGGACCGGGGGGTCCTCCCCCAACCGGAACCGGACCGGTCCTACCGGCCGGTCGACCGGGCCGGTTCCCCCCCGGTCGGCTGTAGCGCATCTTTCTTTCTTTCTTTTTTTTTCTTTTTTTTTCTTTTTTTTTTTTTCTTTTTTTTAAGCCCATGGTGTTGTTGAGGCCAAGGACTAGACCCACAGTGATTGCTGGCAGCAGTAGCCGGTGGTTGTCCTGACAGGATAGGCCACCTTCCCTACCCTTCCCCACGTTAATGCTCCCAGCGCACCCCCTATCCCTCTTTTCCTACCTCAGTGTCAGGACCATCGCCCTCAGTCACCAGACAGCAGTGACAAGCACCCCCTAACACTATAACCCCCACCCTTCTTTTCAAAGTTTTTGGGTGGGAACGCTACCCTGCCACTAACACCCCAGTGTGACCAACACTCAGGACCATCACCCTACCAGTATCGAGGGCAACTTGGACGAAGCACCCCCTAACACTACAACCCCTACCCCACTTTTCAA